CATCGTTATTGGTACCTTGTTTTTGTTTCTGCCCATTTTTTCCAGCTTCCTTCGCATGGCTTCCTCAACTTGTTGCTTCTTATCCGGACCTCTCACATCCTTTATAATGAGCATCGGGTTCCTATTTTCTGTGTTTTCGACCTTAAGCTTTTTGTTATCTCTCAATTTATTCTTTATTTTTTCGATTTCTTCCTTTTTAGCGCACCCTATGACTACTTTTTGGTCCTTAACTTTTTTGATGCGGACCACCTCGCACCAGTCATCATCCTTTGTTACCGACTCCTTTACCTCATCTAACACCTGTTCGCTGGTTTTGTTGGAGTCGGTTGACGCAACGACCACCGAGTGAATCGTCCGCAGTTGTTTAATGCCAGCGTTTTTTCCAGTTCTCTCTTCAGCTATTATGTTTGGCATATATTTCTCCTTTTTTCCCTCTTCCATCATCTGATCGTTATTTTGGTTTAGTTTCGTTTCAGTTTTGTCCAGCTTTTCCATTATATGATTTCTTGATTCTCTCTGTTCTTTTATTATCGTTTCTACATCTTCTCCTATTTTATCCATTTTACTTAAACATTCTCTTATTTCTTTCTCCCTTCTCGCTTCCATTTCTTTTGTATTGTTTAGTTTTTCGATTTCGTTCCTAATTTCAGTTACTTTCCTAGTCTGGTCTCTTATCAAATCCGAGAGTTCAGCCTGCTCATCTATTCTAAAGGAGGAGCTACCAAAAGAGGGCCTTCCCAATGATTCTCTTCTTTCATCATTGATGTTTGAGACTCCCCTTCTTAGCAGCTCCTGTCCTTCTCCTATTTCCTTACCGACTCTCCTTATTTCTCTTCTGTTCTCTCGGATCTCTTCTCTCATACCATCGTAGGTGGTGTTGAATAGGTCTTCCATGCCTGTGATCTTGTCCTTTATATCTTCTAGAACTGTATATTGTTCTTCGTTTACGATTACGTTTATTTTCTCGGGTGCTTTTTCTACTTTCTCTTTTTCTTTCTCTTTGATAGTCCTTATGGCGTGGAATTCCTCTTTCATTCTTGTGTAAACGTTCTTTAAACCTTCTTTGATCTCTACCATCATAGCCATCTGTTTTATGCTCTCTCTTTGTTTTTCTGATCTTTCCAATTCTCTGTTTCTTTCTTCTCTTTTCCTCAGGGCTTCACTTATAAGGTCCAATACTTTAGCACCGTTTTCTTTTCTCTCCCTTTCAAGTTTCTCCAGTTTTTCCAAATATAAACATCTACTCTTATTTCCTTCTTTGTCTATCATTTTTACTCTCACTATCAATTCCTTCGTAACCTCGTTTAACACCGTGATAGCCTTTTCTGTCTTTGACATTGCCTCTTTTGCAACGCTTGTTTCTAATACTTCTTTCATTATTATGTTCGTTTCCTTTCTTACTATTTCCTCCATTTGAATTATCGTCCTTTCTTCCCATCGCACACTATCCCTTTCGCTATCTTTATCCTTAGGTTTCGTTTCATTTTTTAGAGACAGTGGAGCCTGGTTGGTGGGGTCCGTCTTTCCCATGGCCCTGGCCTTAGCCAGTCTCTCCGGACGTTGGGACATTTCGGCCGGGTTGCTCCAGTTACAATTTAAATAAACTCCGCGGATCCAAATTATTTAGCTAACCGATAAATTAAAATCAATTATATGACTCAATAGTGGATTATATTAAATTAAATGTCAAATTTTAAAATGTCAAAATTAAATAAACAATATCACTAACCTAAGAATTGAATGGCGCAATAGCGAATAATAAAAAAAATCTCAAATTTTATAATATTAAAATTTAAATCAAAATGAATTCATAAGAATATTAATCGAATCAAATAAATTAGTCTAATTAATTAATAAATTGATAAATAAAGCAAAAGCAATTCCAATCCAAATGGCAATAAATAAATACCCAGTGATAAAATTAAATTAATAACTAAATTGATTTAATAAAGCAAAAGCAGTTAAATTGAGTATAAAATTAAATTTAAAATGATAATTAATTGATTGTCAAATTTCAAATAAGTAAAATCCCTAACCTAAGCTACCAAAATAAGTTAATAAATAAAATTATTTAATGAAGCAAAAGCAATTTAATAAAATGTCAAGTATAAAAAGTTTAAATAAGAAGTCCGTAAATAATTTATTGATTAGTGCAGAAACTTTAACATAACTCTACGAGCTCACGAGGTCCAGGGGGTCCACTACGCTTGCCTGGTGAGGCGCACAATTGCGCGTTAAGTGTCGCTTCGTGCGTCAAAATCCGTTGAGTAGTTAAGATATTATCGCACAAAAACACTTCTATTTTACACACGACACGTAGTGATTTTCACTTTTCTTTCAATAACTTTTCGAACCACAGCTGGAACAAGTCATCGTGTGATCACTTTCATCAATTTTGTGATAACATCCTCCGCAAGTAGTCATCGTGATCCAAATTAGCGGGTGACAGAAAAACGCGTCTGAACGGAGCACCACACAGAAGAGTGAACTCGCCCGCTAGGACGCGGCACGCTGCACCGAACGAAGCACGCGATGGTTCTTCTTGGCGGGTGACAGGAAAACACGTTTGAACGTAGCACCACACAGGCCAGTATCTCGACCACCACAACGCAGCACACGGCAAATTTTGATTTTATTTTGCTTGTAATATGAATATTCCGGAAGACTGAGATAAAATGATTGCACTACCGAATCCTTTCACTTTGTACGGGTGAATTAAGATTTGATTAGGTAATAATTATCACTTTTTACAAACTATTTTGATTAAATACTACGGAGCTCACAGGCAGACGTATGTACTTCAATGTATGTTCCTCCGGTTTGTATGATCCATGGTTTCGATATGTTGCGAATTCACGAATCCCTACACCCAGGGTACACCGTCCCGACACTTCACATATGGAGAGGGAGGGACAACGGCCGTGGCACATGAGGAGGTGTTCTGACACGTTTGTTGTTTGGGAGCTCCCTTAAATATTTATTTTAATCTGGTTTTTTGTATTTGTGAAAATTTCAATTGCTTACTCTTTACGGTTCACGAGATACAGCCTGGTGACAGACAGCGAAGCCTTAGTAATTGGGTTCCCGTTTTACCCTTTGTGTATGTAACCCTAAAATTGAAGGACAAAACAATTTTGTTTTATTCAATTCAATGTATATTTTTCCTACAACCTCGTTTTCAATTGCCTTTCATGGTAGTTTACCTGAAATTAGTCCCATAGGGGGGGGGGGGGGACTATTTTGAATTAGCATTATAAACGTCAACCGTCATTTTCGGCAGCCGCCGAGTAGACGGGAGAGCTCATGCACTACTGAATCGCGAAAATAAGTCCCTTAATTAAATAGGTACCCAAACAATTTTAATGTCGATGGAATTTTATTTATTTATTATTAAATAAAATTCCATTTCTTCAATGGCATTAGTACATATTGATTGTGGATTTCCATTTTACTTTTGCTTTATATAATTTTTTTTCCAGTTGTAATTTTATAAGAAAGAAATCACTAACGATAATGGGTTCTCTCTTTAGATAAGGGTTCTAAAACTCTTTTGGCGATGGATCGTGACTTGATGGATCTGACTTTTTGGAAACCGAATGTATAAATGAAGCTCTAAAAATAAATAACAACCTATTCTCAGATCTACTTAATATACTTACATAGACCTACAAAATTTCATCAATATCAGTGTTAGCCCTTTAGGAGGAGTATGGTAACTAGAAAACAAGCTCTATAGTCTTCGCACGCGAAAATTATAGCTATATTCTATAATGTAGCTACTGACCCATACCTTTCGTGGGAGTGGAAATTTTCAAAATCTCTCCAGTATGTAGTTTCAGAGCTTATTTAATGCAATTAAGCAATTCTCTTATTAAACTCATTGTTTATAGATTAAGTATGTACCTACTCAATCTAGAATAAGAATTACGTATCTAAACGACGTAAAAACTTCATAAGATTTAGTGAATCTCATTTCATATTGGGCATATATTAGATTATGTACCTATGCTTTGCGTAAATACCCACCGTACGTTGTCTATGGAAGGAATTGATTAGTCAATCCGTATACATACTTGCTTAATATTGACTCGATGTAGGTTTAAATCAAGTACCTACCTACCTAAGTATATACCTACTTATTTAAAAATTACGTCATCGGAAATGTCGGAAAGTGTGAATCTCGTACAAACTAACGTCAATTTGCTAAAAAAATTAACTTTTATTTTGATATAATAAAACTTCGTGAGAATATATTTTCTGAAGAGCAATTTAAAAAAAAAGAGAAAATCGAGTTCAAATTTTCCTTTGTAATAATAAGGACTCTAAATTTGCGAATATCCTAATTTTGATGCTATTATTTATTTAACGTTGTTAAGTAAATATAGGTATTTTTTATTGAACTGTTTACTAACTACCTCCTGGGCGCGACTGCCCAATAGGGATGACGACTAGGTAAAAAAAATGCAATTCTATTTAGTCTGTCAGTCAGATAATAGAAAAATATTTGATACGTATTTTTTTTTACTTCAATTTAACAAGAAATAGCCTACATAACAGCCATTAAAGTTGAGGAGTGGGGGCTTGCTACGTAGAAAACGTACCATAACGTGACGTCATGCGAAATTTCAACTCCTTGTAACACCGTAATTTTATGATTACGAAAAAAATAAAAAAATACGTGTTTAATATTTTTTAACCCTCTACCTGACAAACAAAAATTAGTCGTCATCCCTATTCTCTAGCCATAGGACATGGTAACGCTAACTTGGTAACGCTGTTATCAAATCGTTCGTTGTTAATAAATTACATGTTAAAGTAAATGTTAAAATTACATGTTAAATGAAAGAAAAATCAACAGATCAAGATATCGTATCTTATGGCTAGAGTTAGGTGGATTAAAATGCGAACGGTTATCAGAAAAGTCGTAAAGACGCTTTAAAATTCCATCTTTAGATAGTCTTGTGACTAGACGAGGCTTTAGTTATGTTCTTATTCGAAAATCCTATTTCAGGTATAGAAAAAAAATGTGGAGTAATAAATAAAAAGAATTCTTTTGGTCTTAACGCTAGCTGTCTTTATTTTCCATTTCCTTATAGAAAATACTTTTACGAAAAACAGTATATAGGGCCGCCTGCGCGCCCGGACGCCGTGAGCGACGCCGCTGACTAGTCTCGCCCGTCGACCCCCTCACATCCAATACTTACATGAAACGATAAATAATACAAAAAATACTGATATCGCGAGATCGATAACTTCTTACAGAGACTTCTCAATTTTGATCAGTTCAGCGATGCCATCGTGCATCTCCTTGACGGCTTCGTACTCGGTGAGACCCATGCGCCTCTTGTTGGAAATGTCGTAAACACCACCTTCTGCCTCGGTGTGCTCGCCGCGGGTGCCGCGCACCTGCAAGTGGTATTTGGACGCGACTTCCTCCAACTTGGCCTTGTCAGCAGCCAACTTCGGCAACTTGATGTGCACTGAGGCACGGACGGTTGTACCCAAGTTGGTCGGGCAGAAAGTCAAGAAACCGAGACGATCATTGTGTGAGAAAGGAATCCTCTTCTCGATGTCGTTAACGGCGGTCACCAGCCTCTTGTATACCTGCTTCAAGTCACCACCCATCTGCATGGAGATGAGGCGGAGATGGTCCTCCTCATTGCACCAGACCAGGAAGGTTTTGTTCTCATTATGATAAATGCCACGGCCTGTGGGCCAGAAACGGCAAGCATTGGCAGCCTGGAGGAAGCGGTCTCCCTCTTTGAAGAGGAAGTGGTCATCGATCAACTGTTGTTGGGTCTCCTTGGACATGCCAGTGAGGGGGTAGAATGTGCCCTTAAGTTCACCCTCGAGTCCAGACAGAGTGGACGATACTTTGTCTTCCATTTCTTTGTACTGGGCCTCTGTGAGGCAGGGATTGAATGGGTATCCCTCCATAGAGCGACCACAGCGGACACGTGTAGATACTACGAACTCGCCAGCAGGGTCCAGATTTCCAAGAGTTTCTACATCACCCCAGTTCTTAGCTGGATGCTTGTCGGTTTTCTTGAAACCATTGTGGTAGTCCTCGATGATAGGGTCAAACAAGTCAGCGAAGACAACATACGCCTCAGCATCAGGGGCGTAGATTCCAACACCAGAGTCCAAGTTCTCAACACCTGAAATAGTAAATAATTAAAATTTAATAAAATGAAATAATAATTATGTTAGTCTAGGAATATTATAGGTATATAACTGCACAAGGCAAAGTGGTAACTAATATTACTTCACGAAAATTAAAAATGAGATAACATGCAAATACGCTATCAATTGATTACTACCAGAATGATAAGTCAGTACAGATAGTGAGCTAATTTATTAATACATTATAAGTGCTTACTTAATATAACTCAAATTTTATAAAATTTGTTTTAAGTTACTTAAAATAAAAATTTCAAAAGACTGAAATAAGGTACTAAGGGTGCATACCTGATTGAATGCAGTCTAAGAGTGTTGAGCCGAAGGAGGTCTTCTTGTTCTTGAGAGCATCGAATACCTCCCTGGTAAGGTACTTCTTCAGCAGCGACTTAGAGTCTGAAGCCTGGAGTTTGCTGAAACCAGCCTCCAATTTCTCAAGGGTTGCGGCGTCCACCATAGCTGCTGCTTTTCTGAAAATAAAAGTATTAGCGGATAAGATAATTGTGCAAAGGAGTCAATAATTGTCATAATAAAATCTGAAATTCTAACGCTTTTAACGCCGCACAAGTCGCTCGAGTACACATTTTTTGTGATTTTTGTGGTATTTTAAGTGCTTAAAAATTAAACAAAATTTTCCAAATTTGTCAAAATCGTGGCGGTTATGCTAAATGTCAAAATTGATAGATTTTTCTCTAGTCTATAATTGATAGGTACCTATCTGTTATTTTTCATAATAGGGACGTACCCATTAATTCCTGAATCGAGATGATCTACCCACGAACTAAGAAAAAATATCTAAATTAAAAACTTGGATACAGTTATAATATAAAACGAAATTCAATTTATGTTATTGTCAAAATAGTAAATATTTTTCATTCTATTAACACTTCACTAAACTATTTTACAAACCTCCTGATGAGGTAATATGCAAGAACAGCGCCACCGCATACAACCACTGGGATGGTAACTTTGAGTTTATAATTCATAATGGATTAATATTTCAAAATTCTATAGAGTTTGAGAAGTGAAGCTTGTGAAAGTACTACGCGAACTGATGAGCTAAGGGGTATTTTTCGAACACACCCAAGAATTCACTTAGTTTTCTGATAGAATTACGTAATTTTGCCAGAGGTCGCCTTGACCGACACGCGCAAGTCCAACGGATGTGTCAGTTCACTGCGCACCGGTACTGTTTCACAGCGGCGCAGCGCCGTGTCTGCCTCCCACTTACGAATAGCGAATGAACGTGTTACGCGAGTTTCTTATTACTTATTTGCAACAATTCTATACGAGACCATAGGTGCACCGATTAAACATCGTCAGATTACGAAGTCCATTAGCGTTTTATGATAGTATGGTATCGAATATGACAGATAAGATTTCAGGTAGATTATAAACCTAAAAGAAAAGTTATGATTATTATTTTGTGTATCCAAAGTAAGAAAAATTCATCTTTGAAGAGCTAAAAATATTTAAAATTGCATTATCCATATTATTGACAAGTCATATAAAAATTAGACCAAATGTTTTAAATTTTTTATTTAATCAACATTATAGTATTAATTTTGTTTTTTTTTTATCAAACTGATGTTATCTGTCATCAACTATGTGGATTTTGTTGTAATTTTTTTGTGTAGGTACATAACAATTTATAAAAATTGTATTTATTTTATAGTTTAGTTCAAAATGAAACACTTGTGACATTATGATACATCATTAGGGTTATTTGGCACCGGAGATAAAGGCCGGTTAGAGATATACGCACCCGTCGGCATCCTCTGCCGGTTTGTTTTCCTTGTTTTCTTTAGTTGCACAGCCACCCATTTTCACAAAATTTATATTTTAATGTAAAACTAAACGCTAGAACATGTACGAATCACAAAAAACTACGACTAAAAAAGAAAAGGAATGGAGAATACTAAATGCAGTGATAGAATGATATTTTGTCCAAATGAATGTACCGGAGCCGGGAGTGGTGAGGGCGAGGGTTGGCTCGATCGATGCGCGACACGCAGCACGCACGCGGGTTTACGCTTCCCGCTCTTCGGGAACCGCTTTAAAACTTTTTGGAGGGAAACTTTTTAAGGGAAACTTAGCGCAACGGATTACCTTAAACATGCGAAACCTTAGCAGTGACACCTATATCTTATTTTTCTTACACTATATCACTGATCAGTTGAAATGCAACACTTAATATTATCTTTTGCACATCTCGAGTGGATAGTTGGAGTTAACACACATCAAATAAAAAAATCCGATCGAACCGGCAAGTGATATGCCTCGATAAATATTTGTCTTCGACGGTAGATTAGATTATTGAAAGTGGGCACTGCTTACCTAGCGCTTGTACAACCGTCAGAGTCGACTGCGAGGTGCAGAATGGTCTCTGCGGGAGCGCGCGGAACGTTAAGCCTGCGGTACCCCGCGCCCGCTCCCGTACCTCAGCTCAGCCCTTCCTCTATCAACCTTGGCCTTGCTGTGATGCTCACCGGGCCGGCTGACTGCTCGCCAACCAGTAATAAGATCGAATTGAGATTTTGATTATCATTATCAGTGTCATTTCAAATGAAGCTCATCCAAGGAATATTGTTCCACTTTTATTGCCTCTATTTCTTGATCTGGCGCAAATTTCAATAATGATTTGTTTGTTAACTGAAATTTTCATTTTTACTAGGTGTTTAAAGGTTTGAAGTAAACTTATTATTACAGTAAACTTATATATCATATAATGTGAATCAAAGTAGATTTTTGTAATAAACAAGTTTTGAACTGCTGTTTTAAGCATTTAAGTTTGTACTTAATTGAAAACATGTGTCATTTTTTTAAGGTGCAATCTTAAAGTATATTAGTACCTATAATCCAAGGGTCCAATATCCAATTAATTGAATCACCTTGCTTTTACCAATATGACTTTTATTAGTATTTTGAAATTAATCATAATCTATCGATTTAGTAATATAGGCGAAGGTTATTTGACGTATGTTGGAATCTAGGGCCAAGTATTTATTAAACTTTTGAGATCGATTAATACCGCCTCCTTTACTAGGTCGATAACGTATTTAATTTAATTATAGAAGAGTTGCTGTTTCTTTTCTTGCTCGGCTGGATCATTTCCAAGACAGCACTGTGCGATGATGCCAATGTCAAGTTTGTTATTTTTCACTTTCATTGCATAACTCGAGCATCTCGTTCAAATTGAAGACAATAACGTAACATACACATTAATAAACTAAGATATGCGATTGAGTTTAATTTGAAGTCACTGAGATCTTTGAAACAATGAACAAGTATAAACTTTTACGTATTAAATAATAAATTGAACATTAAACGTTTAAACTTTCAACTTTGTGAAAAAGTGATCAAGTCAATCGACTCTACTACTTTTTGAGTTAAAATAATTAATCGATTATGGCAGTATAGGTGTCGATCCCTCCCTTTATGTTAAATGTCATTATTTAACGCGTTGAATTTAAATAGCCTGGCGCAAAGCCAATATATTTTTATTAAAACTAATTTAATAACTTTGATTGAGTTTATTTCTTTACTCCCAAGCAATTTATAAAAATATGACGTGAATACTTTTTGCTATGTTATTGGAAATCAATAAATCTATAATATTTTTATTATTTTACCAGACATTAAAACATACAATAAACTAAGCGAAAGAAAATTATTGCTTCACCCCACCAGGGTTATCACAAGTTAACTAACCTACGTCACAGAAGTATACTTTTCTTCTTCACTTACTTTTACCAGCAAAGGTATGGGTTACATAATGGGGTGAAGGACGGTACAGTAATGTCTCGACCTTGACCGACGTTGTCCTTGGCCCACGCGTGGGGTAGCGTGCCCGTACACTCGGGAGGAAACCATAAAAGGGTCTCGAGTAGTTGGTGCATTGCCGAGTACAGGGCAGGCTTAATGGGTTCATTGACCTACGTTGGCGAACTCAAACTTAACCTTGTAGGATTTTGGCGAAAATTAATTGACGCAGGACGCACGCCACACGACTTTGGTAAAGTGTAGGTAAACTTAGATGGTATTTTTTATGATTATACCTCTTACCTATTGGAATGTATGCCTTGGTAATAGTACCGGTTTTAGTTGTTGTCACTGGTATTATTAATTTAAATAAAAATATTATTTATTTGAAAAAAGAATGCAAGTGAAGTAAATTACCTCTATGTAGGCTAATTAAAGTAATATAGGTGGTACTCGTAAGACCGATACCATAGGAGCTTATTTACACCTATGGCGATATGTGGAATATGTTTTAAATTTTGACCTACCTAAATACGGGGCGAGTATTAAAAATTAAAACTATGTAATTCCAAATTTAAAAATAAAAAGCATTTGTCACGCTTCCGTAAGTTTCAATATTATATCGTATATATTAGATATAGATATAATAATACTTTCATGGGGAAATTTTAATAGTTATTTAAGATACGAGTGCGGAAAGTAAGGTTTTACGAATAAGGGCCAAATTGAAAACACGAGCGTAGCGAGGGTTTTCATTGGCACGAATTCGAAAACCTTTTACGCTCAAGTTTCTTACAACATTTTCCAATGCTTTTTGCGAGGAAATAAAACAAATATATAGGTTAATAAAACTAAGTATGTATTAAAGGTAAAAATTATTTGTTAAAATTAAACGTGATATTTGAACATGTTTTCGTGTCGTACATTTTTACTTGTAAATATGCGTTCTAGGCTCCTTGAAATACTTTTGCCTCTAAAGTTTGACATATTTTCATCAATTTTTTTTTTATTTATTTGGTGCTCGGTCAAAAAAAAATTAAAAAAATATTTTTAAGCACGTGTGCAGTGAAGGATTTCAGTAGATTTTTTTAACACGTGTTTATGGACTCACTTTCGGTGTTTACAATGGATTAAAAAAATAGCGCTTTATGAGCAACTGCATTGAAAAAGTATATTATTCATTGTTATTTATTCATTCATTCATATTATTCATCGTAAGAAATAATGTGCAAAGCAGTTCTAATTGCAGTTAATAATGAGCAAAAAATAAGTTCATCATATTTCTGCGTACTACACGAAACGTGAATTAAAATAATATTCTTTATAAAAAAAAAACAAAATTACTCCCTCAAATTCACCATTTTTTAAATTTAATGTTGTAATTTTGTCTTCTTTTTTGTAGGGAAAATATTAAATGATAGTTGTGTATAAAATACTATCATTTACCCAACATATTAAGGAATTTTCTTTCACCTTTACTAATAAGAAACTAACGGTTGTTTAGTTATACATATCTCTGTTCACGTCATTCTAATGTGAATTTTAATAAGATTAAAAAATCACTAAATTCTGAACGTCATGTGTGCTTTCAGACTCAACTCATGAACAAATTTTCATATTTTTAATAACTATATAACTTATTAGAAGTTCCTTTGTTGAAAATCATTTTAAAGTAAATAGTTTCGGTTTTGACGCCCTCTTAAATAGTATTCATATTTGTGTAAAGGTCGTGAGGAAATCTGTTAGACCTTGGTCTTGACTGCCGCTGGCTCGGCCTTGGCTAACGGTCTGGCTACAAATAAAAATACTTGGGGAGCGTTGTCTCCTGCAAGGTTCCTTCGTGAACTAATATTATTTCAATGCCGACACGCAAAGGTCGGGTCGAAATATTGAAGTAAATATTTATATCCTAAAATAATTGTATATAATTACTATGGTACCTGTAACACCTCTGTTTATCCGAACATTTAATTAGCGATCGGAGACAACATTAAACATTTAAGGTTTCTTTTAAATTTGGCAACATAAGCACCTCGGTACGTCTCATGCCGTGCTAGGTGATCTGAAGAATGTCATTATATACTAAGAATACTAACGACCGGTTTCTGAATTAAGAAAAGTAAAAAAATCTCAACTGATAATTCTCTTAACTTAATATATTTTACGTTTCATTAGGCAAAATGTTCTTACTTTGTCAAACTATTATCAATCATTAAAAAAACTAAAATCAGAAACGAGTTTAAAGACTGTTTGAGACGTGCTTAACTTTAAATTCTCATTTCAGAAACCGGTTGTAATTCAAATTGATTGAATTGCAACGAAAACTAACTCAATTTTGAGATATGAAGTTAAGAAAAATAGTTTTAAACGGATTTATCGTTTTTATTTTTGAAAAATCACTATAATATTATACAATAACATCATATATATATATAATGAAAATATCAAATGTAGTGAAATGGGTTGTAAAGTATTGGGGACGTCTGATAAATGTATTTTTTTTTTTCAAAAATGATTGATTGTTGAATTTTTTCCTTGTAATAAATCGTTATA